GTACATTGGCATGGTTGTACCTGCAGTGGAGTAGAGTGAAGAGGTAGCTTCGTGGAAGACATTGAGGGAACCCAGTGACTATCAAAATGGAAATGTCTGGTCAACAGTTCCTAATCATGGACAGAGATGGCAAGGTGACCAAGCAATCGCCCTGATTATGACAGAAGATAACGGAGGGAATCAGGATTGCAATCAGATAGGGTGTAGTTGCAACCACAAGTAAGCATAGTTGAATACCGCCCCATCTACACAGACGAGTGTTCAAAAAGATTCCGCTACCAGACCAATAATAATAGCCACTCCCAGGTGGAGTTGTAACTGTTGTGTCCATTTATCAGACATGTGCACTCAATAAAACAGGCGTAGATATTTTGAGAGAGTTGTGTCTCATTTGCGTAGACATAAGTTAACACCTAGCGGATCAATTTTTCCAACACGTGCAGTGTGCTGTCCTGTCAGGTGTGGGAAGTGGATGCTGAATGCAAAAGACTTCGAACGACATAATGATAGGAGAGACATTTGACGACAGAGCCTACTTGGCACTGTGGTCGTATTAATATAGACGGTAAGCTGTAGTGCTACCGCAGTTAAGATCATGCGTGCTGAGAATGGCGGTAAATATCGGAAAGATAAGAGAGATGGAAAACGGAGGGTAGGCGTCGGTTGCGTCCAGCTTATCTGTAGATAACATGGCCCTCCGAACAGGGCGCGATGGCCGGTGTAGAAAGGCGCTGAAGTGCGCAATCGCAGTCGTGGATGTTTGCTGGATTTGATACTGACAAAGTGCCCACATAGGGGCGGTACAAACATGACGGTTGACAAACAGATTACCTGATTCGAAAGCACAAAGGTTAGATCACAAAAAGTAGACTACAGACAACAAACTGAGCTATCGTAACAGAAGAGAGTAGCCCATAGTTTGTGCCCAAAATGCGACGGGTCAGGATATTGATGCTGACAGACTTTTAGAAGCTGACCAACCTGAAGCTTGTAGCCCTCCATATGCCCAAAAGTACGAATCCATATAAATCAACGGATTAGAACTGTGCACAATGTCACACGAAGTTAAAAGCAGATCTGTGCGACGTGGAATGTCCTCCCAGGCGAAATACAGAGTTAGGGATCTGAGTTGGAACGGTGCAATTCAGCATGAAACAACAAGGTTGCCGCTGAGTGGCTCCTGCATTGCAAGTCAGCTAAAACGGCAGAGGATAACTTGTGAGGAACGGGATTTTGATGTCGCTGACTGAACCTTACTCTGTGATGACAGTGAAATTAGTGTTCAAAGGGCATGCTGTGGGGACATTCGTGTCATGTGGGAATAAATTTCGCACATATTTCTGGACTCAATGTTGCCAGGAGTCCATGTGTAGAGAGGAAATGACAGCCACGCTTCGGTGGAGCTCCAGTTACTAGAGTTGGCACAGATTATATGCGTGCTAGATACAGTGAGTGAGGTACCGAGCTGCGCCACATGTATATTGGACAGGGCCCGCCTGGACTGTGATTAGATGGTACCTGTCGGTTACTTAATGATGAGCAGTCCTAACTGGCCGTAAGCGAGTGCTTGGACTCATGCTCAATGACTAAACACGGAGGGCCTAGTCAAAATAAACAGCAGCTTCAACTCGTAGGTTAAGTAGAACGCAAGAAAATGGATAGAATGTCCTACATTTAGATTTCTTACTGCTACCGGAGAACGAAGTTGCACTCCAAGCGAGGCAGAATGAGTGACAGTTTCGATAAGTCAAAGATAGTAGAGGCGGTCAGCGCACTCCAAACGCTCTGATAGCGTGTCTAGGACCCCATACCCCTCAATACCATAGATTGATAGCTGCTAAACATAAACAAAACCAAGTAGTCTGGCATCACAAGCGACAGTTTGTATGTATGCAGGCAAGAGCAATTATGTTTGGAGTGCGAGGGCACGTGAGCGCCTGCACAGGTGCGCACGTAGTCACAAGAGAACTAGTCTTGGGCCGACAAAGCCCATCAAGCGGTGCGACAACCCAGCTAGAGTAACGGGAACGAAAAGTGGGCTAGATGTTTACATTAAGAAAGACGAAGTCTGCCCCAGACGGATCACCACATAGGATACAAAGCTCCACACGTAAGCGATAAACTCCACAAACAGTTCACACATATAAGGGATCGATTTGAACGGGTGGTTGACACGACAACGTGAGCACAAAAGCAAACCAACTCCGGATCACCTTAACGACAACAGTCAGGGTGTAAATAAAGCCTTTTATTAGCAAAAAGCATTCGAATACCACTTGCAATGTACGCGAAAACAGAGTGTGCCGAGAAGGCGCGATACTGACAGTAAGGGGTGCTAACAAGCGGAGCGCCGTGTGATCTTGTTCGCCAAAAGAGAAATAACCATGGCGATCATACTTATGATTGGAAAGTGGGAACCCCAAGTCAGCTGCAGTTCTCCTACTAGAAATCGTCATGTGCGAAGACACACTTAGTCTTCTGTCGCCAGTCTTTCGGTCCTGAAGGGGTAGGTCAAAATGCACACAAACCGAAGATTTTATGCACAAGCAAAGCAAGTGACATGTCGTGGAGAGGTTGCACACACTTTATTGGGACCATCGTGGACAGAAAGTCAACTCACGAATGGAAGTAAAAGAACAGCGAAATTGGCTTGTTTGTATGAAAACTTCACACCAAAGTTTTCCACTCTTAAATCTGTAACTATAGTGCATGCAATGGGGGCCAGCTGCGGGTCTCAACGGCAAATACACATGGAAACATTTTGTCCAAGAAGAATATACTTTGGGGTTCGGTTAGCAGGTAGCATTATTCGCTCAGACCTGGAGATAATGGGTGACAAAGACCATTAAAACGAGTGGTTCGTAGAAGGCGGCGCGACTTCGGCTGTTTTAAGATGCAAAACATGTGATGAGATAAGTGGCTGATAAGCAGATGTGCCAGAAACAGGGTGTATGCCTGTGTAAAAAGAGGTGGTGCGACTGGAAACAACCAAAGCCAGTCAAAAGAGCTTAGTCTTTTAACCATAATCCCCAGGGTACTTCATTTCCAAAGTTCTCTCGACCTGCAGTTTCGAAGTTTTATCTTGGACACTGAGATGGTTGCCAGAATCCAAAATCCTCCTCTTGTTAGTAATAGAATTAACTGCATATCGTCATAACTAATAGTCTGGAAAGTTAAAGCCACCACGGTGATCCAGCGACGTTTAAATCAACTCAGATAAAAGCTGTGGAAGTGGAGCAATAGCTCCTACAACATGCATCGTTGTCCAGGTCACCAATGATGAATGAGGGGCTGTTGAAAGCGATCCAGATCTTGCTGATAAGGTTGGATCTGATGCCGGAGATTTCAAGCAAGCCCGCCGGTGTACGATTAGATGTAGGGCTACGATACAAGAAAGATATCTGTCATACGCTCTACCCCTGTATGCTACCTATCTAGGCAACGGTGACATAAGGGAAGATAGCAGAAGGGCTATCTGTGTGTTCAGAAGCATGTCATTCGACGACATGTAATATATGGCTTGCCGTGCCGAGTAAAAGGATGAAAAATGGGACACGCGCAAATTCTAAATTCAGTCAATTAACCACAGATCAAGTACGAAGTACAGTGAACCCGGCCTCTTTCGTTATATTGCAACCGGTTAAATGCAAGCATTACCCACTCACTTAACGGGGAACAGTGCTTTGGACTGGCCAATATTAGTAGTTTAGTCACTTCACACAGGTGGCATAACATCATCCTCCTCACCATCAATGCACTGGGGTTGAGGGTGAGAAACACACCTTAGCTAATGTGCTGCAATACAAAAAGTTTGATACAAAAGTCACACTACGTAACAATTCAAAGGCAGGTAATATAATGTTAAATATTATATTATGTAATTCGTATGAGATCGGAATTGGAGGGGGAAACTTAAACAGAGCAGATGGATAAATCAACTCACAATACAAACGCCACTGGGGCCAGCTCTTCCCCCTATCAGCAAGCGGGTCCAACTAAACGTGTTCAGGTGGCGTAACGGATCGAATCGATAATGTTCTGGTGGCAAATAATTGGCGTAAGTTCAAGTGCTCAACTGAAGGGACTCCACAATGACCACTACGAGTTGGAAAATGTTTTGAAAAGACTATAGAAGCATAACACTGGGGTTCGATGGACCGTTAATGAAAGCAACTTCACAATACAGTGTCGCTAGGGTTGCTCACAGTCAAGTGCATTGGAGTGCATGAACGTCCCTGCCCAAGATAATCTCATCCATCATTGACAATCCGCTGCAATCACCGAGACGACGAAGCTAACTGTTCACAAATTCAAACCATCAAAAATAATTAGAATGACAACATCCTACAAGCTAAACAGATACATACAGTATACGCTCTTGGACGTGATGACTTTATCTCGCTCAAGTGTCATAAAAGACGTAACCGTTTCGTTGAGCGTGCATACGATGGTCTAGCTTACCAATTCTCTGTGTACTAACGTACGAAGTTGCAGCAAATCTGATCTAAACGTATCTGTGCCACAACGCGGGTGAACTCAGACAAGGTGCATAACTAACCTAACAAAAATGGTGGAACACTTCGAGATATCCACTTTAAAATCTCCAAGCAGAAAGAGTAATACTCCATTGGGAGCTTCTGAGAACAGCAAGCGAAGCGACTGGGCCATAAAATGTAACGTTAGTTTGCCACTCGCTCACTAACAAACTGCTGCGAATATCATCTTAAGCGAAGCTAAATCTTCTTTATGAAGCCCAGGAGAGCAGCACCTGTAGGTGCCACCGGTGTGGCACATTCGGCACCGGCTAAATGATCAACTATGAGAAACGAAAAGGTGGAAGCAAAAGGGGGAAAATCGATCATGTGAGCAGATCGGAAGGAAGAGCTGAATACTGTAGTACGCACGAGAGAGGCACGTGAGCAAAATGACCAAAAATGCTTAGTGTGGAATAATTGTAAGATATAAGTGCGGTAGATATAACCGGTGAAAACCTATATTACCTCAAACTGGACGAGTATGTGGAGGGAATCCGCGCTGGGAATCATTTGTGGAAGAGCCAAAGAAAGTGTGGGAGTGTTTGTATCGTTTCGTGAGTAAGCAAAATTGGTGGGGGCCCACTGCAGTAGCTGAAACCGAAGGGGTGGTTCAGGTCTATGCATCATTTCTTGGGTGGGCTGGTCGACACTTGAAATGCCCTCTGCAACCGCGTGATCATCATCCGCATCGTGGGAGGCCTGGCTCGATTCGACAGGTCGTGGAGATAGAATGGTCGAATCGGTCTGCATAAACTCTTCCACGACTAACTCGGCGATCACAACATACCTAGTGGAGCAAGGGATATTCAATTGATGTGCGATTGAGTGTATAAGTCCCGGTAACAAAAAAGAACCCACTCTCGCCTGAATCACCGGTATATATAAACGCTACGCCCAAGAAACCACAGTTAACCTGGAAGGGTTGTGGGATGAAACATTAAAGTGAGACAAACATTTGTACGTGAGGCAAACGATAACTAGAAACTTGGATAGTGTCAATTGCCTGTGAGCAGGGTGAAAGCCAGGACAGCTACGCCTTAAGCACATAATGATGTTGAGACTAGGGGGACTCATAACCAGTTGGTGCATGGAAAACATGTTCAGCAATTGCATCATGGATCTCCATTCACTACTTAACGCCACAAAACTCAGAACAATTATCCACCCAATCTCATGAGGGCCACATCAGTAGGACGGATGCGTCGATGTGGATTCCATTGGGTTGTTCATTTCAAAACAGTGATCATACATCCCATTGATAAACTTCTCCAAGTAAAACACACAGCAGGCTAGTTAAAGGCACGACTAACCGAAAAGTGGGATTCCGGTGCGATGTGTGGGTAGAGGCATCCGAAACCAGTAATCGGACTTGGTTTAACTCACCGACATGAAGCGTATATCTTTGGCAAGTTAAACAGTGATCGAGAAGAAGAGACTGGTTATGTGGTACCAGTCGAAAAAAGTCCACGGACGAAAAGGTGGCAGAGGATGAGAAAGTCAACATGGGTGAGGTACACAGTAACCGTGAGTAAGAGAGTCGTGAAGGAATGATAAATGAACGAATCACATTCCAGTTAGCATAATATGTAGCGATGGTGTGACAAAACAAAGTGAATACAATGGGCACCGGATCTATTGGCAAGTAAACAGCAAAATATACAAGTAATGGGCCGGGATAATGAGATGTGACATTAGGATTACCAGATAACATCCAGTTGGATTTTGGATAGCACGGAGCAAATGGCTACTCAAGAGCAAGGTATCCTTGTGAACTTCAGATTCATGAGCATCCAGTAATATTTAAGCTGATCGTTTACCAAGCCTGATAAAAACGGAAATCGTCCCACACTACACAAAAGGAGCGGTGGCATTGTGATGCAGAGGAATGTTTGTTTCTTAGACATGCTCATACACTGGGGCTAGACAGAAGTAGCTGAACATATTCTTACGATAACGAACAAAGTAATCTAGTGAACAAGTTAAAAATATGGCCCAGCTGGTCGCAGATCCACTTAGATTTTGGTGAAAGATAGCGGCAAAGGATAAAGGTAGCCATCTGATTACTCATCAAGAAGTTTTCATGGTGAGATTTGAGAAATTTCACTTGTTAGGAGACGACGATCTAGTCAATCAGTCCAGTGGTGTGTAGCCCTGGTTCAATCATAGGTCAGTAAGTAAGTACGATATGTAGGCCATCAGTGCCATGGAAGACTCATCCATTCAGTTTGTGATAGCCTCTTTCATTCAGTGAATAACCAAGGGGGATAGTAATTGCTTGATGGGGAGTATAGCAGGGGAAATATATTCGTTCAGACTCCACTATGAATCGTAAACCAAAAACGACAGCAGGAGAGCGTGCTCTGGAGTGGACTAATTGCGGTAGAGGTTGTTAGCTGATCAAGCGTGAACAGGAAAACGCAGATACAAATAAAATGCGAAGGAACAGAACAGTAGGTATACTTGGGGCGTACAATGTAAGAACATCTCACCGAGGTTCTGTCGAATTGGACAGGTTATGACTCAGCCCATCCACCGCAAGTTCTGGCATTAATTTACGGCCTCGGATAAGAGCGCCGTATCGCTTTGGATTGACTTGGACACGCCAGCTACGCGCACCTTCGGAATGCAGTTCCTGCTTGTAGCGATAACGCAAACTTGAGCTCAAAACCAAACTATGCAACAGAAGAAAGAGGAAAGCATCACTAGAACGATGAGTGGATGAAAGCACAAAATGCGAAGAAAAGCACCAGCCCATGGGTAGTTGAAGAAGTAAAACATAAAATTTATAGAAAAACAAAAAACCCAAAGTAAAATGAACCAGCATCAGGTAAGGAAATGGGCACAGCTTATTTCAGAATAGAATCCACGTAACGAATGAATGGGCTGTAATTCACGATGGCAAACGTTGAGCTGAGCATTATTTTATCAGGTGAAGATCGCAAACGAACAGCGGAAGGTAGAAGAAGATGAATATGATCAAAAACGGGAGCAGCGATGGAAAACATCATCGAAACGTACCAGCTAAGAAACCGGTGATCATCGAGCACCAATGCCTGAACAGTACTGTTCATATTCAATGATAGCCGACCCGTGGTCTAAAGCACCACAACCCTACCTTGTAATTCGTTGGCTGGGGTTCGAGCCTGCGCAGGGTACCGAGCGAGCCACGCAGTATCCTTAGCCCACGCACGACTGCTGGTGGTTGCGTGGCAGCGAATCATCGGTACTGCGTACCAGCGTACTGCTGATACCCATTTTATTGGGTGGCAAAGTAAAATGACTAATGATGCAATCCACCAGCCATTGGCTAGAAAGGAACCAGTTGACGCAGCACTGAAGTATCTGTTCGACTTGAACATTATCATGATCATTACACGCAACCTGCGGTTGACAAACCGCCCGGCTAGTATGCCGCAATACAAAAAGATAGGATACGGAAAACAGGAAGTACAAAAAAGTATGGAATACATTCTTCATTTACAATATCGATCTCAGCTGCTTTTGCTCCTCCTAGTCACACACCTTCAAACGCCACCTGTTCATTTGTTACCAATCACTGTTATCCGTTACCAGCTGAGTCCTGGTTCCATGATTCTTCTCCCGATGCTTTCGTCGACACCCAGAGAGCTCGCCCAGTCGCACTCCTTCAGTCTCAGTCCTCGTTTCGTTTGGCAAGCTACACTGTACGTACACTCAAGCAGATCGGGCAGCAAATTGGTCCTGCACGCACCCTGAAATTTCTCGCCATCAATGTTCGCTGTCTTTCCGAAACGCGCTTGCGAGATCACAGTATTGTGATTGAGTTGAGCTCTGTCACCAACCACGGAGACAGCTTTCACCTACGTCTATCTGGTGACACAGAAGCAGCTGCGGCAGGCCTGGTAGCCGTTAGTGTAGCACTAAGTAGCAAATCCGAGACCGCATTTCTGGACTGGTACCCGATTAATAGCCGATTGTGTGTCGTTTGGCTTCGGAGATCATTCAAGATAAACATATGTCGTGAGGAGAGACGCAACTTGTTTGTGATCTCAGCTTACGCTCCGACTGCAGTTCCGACTCAGTCAAGGACGATTTCTACCGTGAACTTCATCAGCTCTTGAGCAAAGCCTACAAATCCTACATCGTTGTCCTTGCTGGGGATCTTAACGCACGGGTCGGTCATCTATTGTTTTGCGAAAGCCACCTCGGAGGCCACCATGTGCTTGATAAGCCGCTCAGATAATGGAGAGGGACCTCACATTGTGCGAAGACAATCATCTATTTCTCTCGAGCACCAGCTTTCGACATTCGAGGGAAGGTTCTGCTACTTGGCGACCCCGTTCTGTGTATCAATCATGGTCTCCGATTGATCATATCGCAATCATTTAGATGATGGGGTAGTGTAAAGAATTGCAGATCCATCTGGTCCACTCAGACCACCCTCTTGTCTGTGCGAACATCTGCATGAGTTTCGGAGGGTCTCCAAAAACGAAGCACTGTAAGGTAGACACAAATAAACGATCTACTGTCTCGGTTCAGCAGATCTTTCAAGGTTCCCCGATCGATGCAGTTGGCTGTGACCCACCGCAAGATATTGACGAATACTGGACATTCATACAGAGGACCCTGCTCTCTTCCGGACAGTCAGTCTGTGGTCTTACTCAGCCTGGATCTCCACGTGCTCTATGAACCTACTTGACCGCCGCAGAAATATCCTTGCGGCGTCTAATGAAGTACGCCGTTCCGTCAATCGGCAGCTCAACCAAAGTCAACGCAGTGACCGTTTAGCCTGGTGGTCCCAGCGTGCTTCGGAAATGGAGGCCGCCGCCCTCTCTGGCAATACTCGCAAGCTCTTCCAACTCATCAGATCCACTGGCCACAGAAAGTTTGCTGTCAGTGAGACAATTTGCGAAGCGGATGGTTCGTCGATTGCCAACTTACAGAAACGATCGGACTGATGGGCAGAACATTTTCATTCCCAGCTCAATTGGCCCTCCCCGTCCAATTATATGCCCTGTGAACCCAGCTGTTTGCCCTGGGTTGTCACACTTGATCCACTTAGCGAAGCGAAAGTTTGTCTTACGATTCGACACTTGAAATGTTTCAAGGCTGCCGGCGAAGACAGACTTCCTCCGGAGCTGTTCAAGTATGGAGGCTCAGTTATCATTAGCCAGCTAACCTTTGTTATCTAAAATCTGGCATGAAGAAAAGGTGCCATCTTCTTGGGGCGAGTCAGTTATTGTGCCGGTTTTTAAGAAGAGCGCTCGAAATTCATGTACTAATCACCAGGGGATTAGTGTCATTTCGGTTGCCTCCAAGCTATTAGCATCCATTCTACTTCGTAATCTAATTCCCATTCGCGAATCACAGTATCGGGAAGAACAAGCTGGCTTTCGACCTGGCCGCTGGTACGTGGATCAGATATTCACACTAAGTCACACTCCGCTTCCATTCAATTTACTAACCGCGTGCCTAGTTGCGCATATTCGTTATTTCAGGTGATTGGTTTGTTAAAGTGTCTTAATGCCCATTTTGTTACTTCATTTTAAAATTCACCTGAATAAGCTTTTAATTTGCACACGTCGCCCAAACGATAGGTGGTTTAGTTCGTTTATCTTTTCTCGTTTCTTGCACGTTTTTTATCTCCTGTTCTCCTGTCTTGAATTTGTCGCACATATGTTGATAACCCATTTATTTCATATGCTAAGTTAGCGAAGAGTTATGTCGGCATATCGGTATAATGTTTTCAATCCATTTTATTTGATTTTGTCATTTAAAGTGATTGGCTGTTGCTTGATATCCCCGGTGTAGTTGCGCTTGATGTGCATGTCGACAAGGTGCCTACCCGGCTATCACCCACTATCTCGTCTATACTGGCTTCAGGAGATAGTCAGTGCCGGAGGAGACAGGGTGCACAGTCCTCGAGGTCGTGTTAGGCTCGAAGAGTGGTTCTATCCAGTGTGGAGCGGACTACGGTCCAGCCACAGTCTTGTGTGTGCTTGATACCCCAAATACAGGGTTCTTGTGTTTGACTGTGAAGAAGTGTGGGTCAACTCCGTTGATGAAACGTGGCTCCCAACTACATGCTTCCCGGTTTTATTCATTCGGGTTTGTAGAAATATTCTATCAGTTTGCCACACAAACACTAATGAGACATCTCTAATCAGCTGACGATTCACCAGCTATATTGACCATCATTTAAAAGCTTCATCCAACATACCATCGATCAACTAATTTTGAACAGCCTATCATCTAAGGAGCAAAATCACCACTGGGCTTCCTTTGTTCTTCCGTGCTTAATTTGTGGGAGTATTGAAATACAGCAACGGGAATACATGCTTTCACTTCATTTTGGCACCAGAAAACGACGATGGAATAATTCCGAAGTCCGCACCCAAGAAACGCTCTTACAGGTTTACACTGAATACGGAGTGTGTGGGTTGGGCAGAGCAAGCCACCCATGGTCCCTTTCTCTCTCTCTCTCTCTCTATATATATATATATATATATATATATATATATATATATATATATATATATATATATGCTGGGCAGTTGATTTTCGGGTTTTGGAGCATCCGCCGTGTGTTTCGGATTGCGACACGCAAGCTCAATTTTAGCCCCGGTTCACATTGAAGTCAGTCTCCAGCAATACGATCATTGGGACCATCACCGAAGTGGAGGGTTTCGGTGTGGCTCTCTCCCATTTGCACTCCATGACCGGGTGTTCCAAAACTCGAAAAGCAACTTCTAACCGCTGTGTCGAGCATTGCTCGCAGAGCTCAATGGTCTAATGATCATGGCGATAGCCACCGAGCACGATGGGCCGACTGCCACTCGCAGTTCGGCTATCTCTATCTGATGAGTCCCAACCAAGAAGAAATCGTTGATCGTGGAGTGCAGGGGTGGGAGAAAGCCACACCGAAACCCTCCACATTACTGGGTAGTGTTTCTTGACCTCCAGAGTCAGTCATACCAGAGTGGTCAATAATTTGAGGCCAGACAAACAGTCTCCTGGCCATCCAGGTTGGGGTTGCAATGAGGGTGATTGCTTACAACATAAAACGAACTCGCTGTAGCCCAGTGACAAAACGCCGTTGCCTTGCGGTCAGATATCTGAACCAAAGGCTTTGGCTGAGAACCACAATCGTTCTCCTGTTTATGCCTGGGCAACCTGATAGTATCTTGCCCACGAGATATAATGAATTTCTCTCCAGATATTTTATTTAGGTTCTGGTCGTCGCAGAGGATAACTAACGGCACCCTATATGCTTCATCGAGCAGAGTGGACAGAGGTGGAGATGCTATTGCTCAGCCCTTCCCGTCTTCGCATTTTCATCCTGATCGTTTCTCTCCAACTTTACTTGCATTCCACCTGTTTTAACCCCCCCTTAATTCTTGGCCCTCTCCATCTGCTTCAATAGGCATATGTCTCCTAGTTTCAACTCACAAGCAAACATAGGGCGTCGCTCCAGTCCAGTCGACAAGTTCATATTCAACCAAGAGAACAACATCAGTACATCCGTTTCCATCTAGGGACTTTGATCCTCATGCGACAACGAGCGCACTTTGTATAGATTGGCTGACAGGCAACACTTACCCAAACACTATAGACTCTGTAGGTCTATATCTCCTGATTAGCAGAAACCCGCCTGCAGTATTCAAGCTCTGTGCTTACCCTGCGATCCCCCACA